GAGAGACTTAGGCCAAGGGCCACCACACTGGCCCAATGCAAGTTCTCAGTTTTCCAATGATTCCAAACCTCCTTCAACATGCTTCTACAACAAGTTTCATGACTATGTTTCCCTTCACTGTTAGACACCCCGGACACTCTATACAACTGCCTCCTTCAACATGCTTCTACAACAAGTTTCATGACTATGTTTCCCTTCACTGTTAGACACCCCGGACACTCTATACAACTACCTCCTTCAACATGCTTCTACAACAAGTTTCATGACTATGTTTCCCTTCACTGTTAGACACCCCGGACACTCTATACAACGGTCGAAAATTATTTACCTACTACTACTACATACAGCAAGGCGCAATCTGCACACGCGCAAATGTGTGCGTGAGGTGGCAAGGTTACCCATCACTGTCTTGCACTATTACGTTACGTGATCAGAACGGCAACATAGCGAAAATGCTAACGCGAATCTAATATCTATGATTTTATTAATAGAATCCAGAATCCTAATAATTACACATGTCTATTATGTATTTATATCGATATAATATCATATTTTTCATTAACTCACTAACTAGAGTAATATTGAAGCTTTTAAATAAGGTAACCAAGGTATTTGAAATTGCGAGTTCAAGTTGATCATCATTACTTAGTTAATAATTAGATATATTCGCTACTTACGTAATATTTATAGGCAATATGAATTGCAAATTCGAGAATCCTTGCCCACTAGCTCACGAAGTCATGACGCCTCATTATATTGATTTAATAAATCTATATTTTTTATACATACATATATTACTTTGCAGTAAATAAATGAAGAAAACAATAGCTGAATGACTCTCAGACATAAGTTTTTTCCTTACCTACTTCGTTTCATCTTTCGGAAAATGATGATAAACAGCCGTCACAGCACAATTCACGACCATTAAAATAGTAACGAAAAATGATGTTATATATTAACTCATTGAAAACTATATTCAAATATCAAAGCCGTCTTCGCGTGAAAACGGTTCGCCGGCAGCCTTGTTGTCGTTCAGTCAATGTGACCGGCAATGTGCGGGGCGTGGTGCGGTGTCTAAAGCTAGGGAGGGGCGGAGAGTGTCCGTTCTCGTTACTTATTTGTTCTCTGCTTAAAGTCATACTTGTCGACATCTCCATCTTGAGAAGCAAGCGTTCTTTGAGCTACAACCGTTTTCAGTAAGGCCCTTAATACCAATCCTGAATTCGATATGGAATTATTAATAAGGGTCTTTAATATAACCTATGCGTTGGCGGCCGTTGGGGGACAAGTTGCAAGTATCTTGTGCCAGACTGCGGTATAAGTAAGTAATGCGCAATTAATTATCGAAAACAATGCTTTACTGGCTGTACATTAAACTTAATATATTCTAGTTATTTAGGCCTTCTGAAGGCGGGAACAGCATTCCTACGAACCGGAGCCGTACTTGAAAAACACCTCAGACATATTTGATTTATAACTTTATTGGGAAACTTGGCTATAGCAGACTTGTCCCGATATTTAATATTCCAAAGGAGATTGCGTAAGAAATTGCTGACATAGAGATACAATAACATACCAATTGTCTATTGATTTGTGCAGTTTATTTGTAAACAAATATAAATTGATGATAATATTAATATCACAATAGCTCTACCAATGTCAATACAAAGTGGAAGATGTTTTTAGCATGTTGCTGACGATAATTGTGTATTGGTTATAAGCATAGGTCGGAAAGGTCTTCCACATATATAGATACATGTATTGTTAAAACCACCAAATATTAATTAAATACTTTTTCGAATTCCGGATTTCTCTTATTCTATTATTATTCTAATTCTCTAATTCTTTCGGGGCATCCTTGTCACGTTACCTACCCGGTCCGATTTTAGTTTCGCAGTCTGTTGTGCTTAAATCGGTATTTTCTTATACCTCGCGATGTTGTACCACTTCCGGTCAACCCTTGCATAATGTTTGTATCCAAATCATCTCGCCATCTTTTTTTTTGTAATGTCAAGCAACGGGACGAACAAGTCGTGCGCCTGATGGTAAGGTACACGCCTGTCCATAACAGTTGCAGTTGTCAAGTTGACAAGTCCCTTGTGCCTGTAATTTCACCAGCACTCTTACCCTTCAAAACCGGAAGACAGTAATGCTAACATTACTGCTTGGCAGCAGAAATAGGTAAGGTGGCAGTACTTCCCTCGACGAGCTCTTTCACAAGGACCTCTACTGCTTACAGCATATTACATACATCTACATCATCATCGCGTCTGCATTGATACATATCAGGCATCCACTGCGTGATGATCCCAACCCACCTCTTGGATGGCAGCCTCACCCAGTTTCACTTCTAAATTGTCATATCACTTTCTTATCGGTGATTCTAATTTCGGAGACGACGCCTTCAATTACCTTTTGGGCGAACCTTAACTTTGAACTTTTGTGGTTCTTTGAACGTCGTAAACCTTCTCTTTAGAAGCCACTTGTGTCCGGCTGCGGCTAATATGATGGGTTGACAATGATGATAAGTGATCAGGTTTATATACCATCGGTTAGAATGAACAAGGTATATGTATAGAAGCGTTTGCATTTCGAAAATATCGGTAGATCCTTACAGAGAGAAATAACAGAAAGATAACTAAGTATATGAAAAGTCAATATTAAATTGTTTTACCATAATTCTTTTTTTTTCTTAATGAATGGCTTGTGAGACTACTTAGTCTCTATTCTGCCAGTGTCCGTTTTCTAGTTTCATAAACGTTATGGAGGGTGAGTTAGAATTTTGTTCGGTGACTCAGAGGGAGAATCAAAGAGATTTTTGCACAAATTGAATTCTAGAACAAACATAATTCTATCACCGATTCTAATTAAAAACTATGACGTCTCCAACTTGGCGAAGCGTATCGGCACATGACTTACATACGGAACGCATTCGAGACTACAACCCATTAATATATTGCTTCATATATCACGGTGATCAGGGTTGCGACATCTGCAGAGGGTCATGCTGCCCAACAATATGAACAAATTTTGCCGTCGAGGAGTAATGTAAAATGTCGACAAAGAATCATCTGTTAAATACTAATATTAAATCGTCTGTATTTTTTTGTTACACGATAACTCTGACATCTGTGAACCGATTTCGATTATTCTTGTTTTGTTGGAAAGGCGGTACCTCATTAGTGGTCCCATTCAAATTTGAAGAAAATTTTTCACCGCGAAGGGTGGCAAATTAGAGGATGAATCTGATTTATTGGATTTCACCCACTTTCCGTTATTCCATAAACTTCAGGCTTTCCACAAATTACTTTTCGTTGAAATAACGCAAACACTCAACATAGCCCCGCACTAGGGAAACCCTGTGTCGCGGGTGTCATGGACACACACATAGACAACCACAAATTACACCCAAACTCACGAGAGAAATAAATGTAGGCTTTACAAATATTTCTCCTGGTCCGGGAATCGAACCTGGGACCTCTGCTTGGCAGGCATGGTAACCGTTCGGCCGCGGAGGCAGTTAAATGGACTGATGATGAAAGAAATGGACTCCTTGTAGTTTGGAGCGGACCCCTTGTGGTGGATATGGAACATTTTGGGAGTTATCGGTGTAGGGTACCGATATATTGATACATCTGAAAGAAAAACACATTTCCGTCCTTTTAAATTTGCTTCAGTTGAAAACAAAAATTTAGCAGGCTCTCTGTAGTACTTAAAGAGAAATATCTCCATATAAAAAATTATGTACAAAGTTAGATATTTTATTCTTATATATTTAGTTTTAGACCTGTATTTTAGCCTGTTTTCAGGATTTTTTACGACTGGATAAAGTATTATATATTGTGTAACACATTATTAGCACATTCTTTAGAAAATATTCTTAGGTGTGTCGTATGTTTTTTTGTGAGACCGTTATTTAATAGTAAATACCTAAACAATTTGATCTAGCGAAACACATTTTCCCGCTTCCCCTCCGCAGCTCCAGTGACTCGCCGTAACACAAAATAATCACTCATTTTATATTTAGAACAAATTAAGCAACTATAAATAAGGTACTTGAAATTGTTGGTGGATAAAAATGTGACAAAAACTATGTGAAATTACTCTCGATTTGTTATGTATTAGCTTTGGAGGAATACAGAAGGGACGAGTTTAAGAATTGCGCTGAACATTTTTATATCACTAGATCTGTTAATAATAAAGAATATATTGTACCTAGAACCGTAAATTACTTTCGTCAAAGAACTAAAGATTATTTCATAGCTGTCATATATAATGATCTGAATGTTGACGAAGATAATTTATCTAAATTAACTTTTAAAAAGAAAGCTAGAAAGAAATTGTTATCACAAATCTCAGATTACTAAGCTTTGTACTATTGATTCTGATATATCTATGTGAGTGTATTTTATGACGTACGGTAGGTAAGGTAGGCACATACATATATATCGACTTATCCGAAGAACAGAGTCCGATGTGATTATATAGCGAAAAGTGAATAAGTACGTTACGAGAATAATTTCCTTATTCAAACTAAGGCCTACGTTAAGGTGTTTGAGAATTTATGTACCTTATTTCATTTCGGAAATATAAAATCGAACAACGGTCGATCTGTCATCCACAGCGAAAAAGAACGAACGAAATCTACGGTCCTGAGAACAAGTAGTGTTGCACATAGATCTTTGTTCTACGGATTAGTCGATATATAGGTAGGTTTATAGCTTGTGATGAGAATGTGTCTCCGCCAATAAACTGCTCTGCAGTTTGGCGGGCTTTGAATTTGTAGCCAAAAGTACTTTTTTTGGAATAAACGATTTAAAAAAAAAAATATATTGATTTGACATCAGTGGCCCAGCAGTTAGCACTGTGGAGTCTAAATGGAGGAGGTCGCGACTTCGATTCTCGCTGTGGCCAATAGTTACGAAAAAAATTGAATCTTGAACTATGTTATATTATGGTCTTTGTATTTTGGTTACATATTAGTTTGTTTTTATTCACAGGTGTAGGCTACATATCTCCAGAACCAATGTACCCCGATAGTGGCGACATATCAGCACCAGTGAACCCTGACATCTCGATGTCCAACAGCATGAGCTCGTCTCCTGTCTGCAAGGACACGCCGCTTCTGCGGCTGAGGAACGGCGCATTGCAAGCTGGATTAAATGAGCGATTGCAACGAATTGTTGCTGCTAGAAAGGTAAGAGTGCTAGTGATCAGATTTTTGTGTTTTAAAAGTCTGAGTGGCACTGCAACTGTTATGGACAGGCGTATCGTTTACCATCAGTCGACTTGTTCGTCCCGTCGGCGTCATATAAAAAAAAGTAAATTGCTCGGTTTTCACAGTGGGTGGTGGATGAGGAGAACCCGGGCTCGATTCCCATTAGGAACTACTTGACAAATCTAAATTGGACGTAATTAAGCAAGACGGATCCAATCCACAAAATTATCAAAAAATTAGTTATATTTATCAAACGGTTCCTAAAGTCTAACCTCTTAGATCAGCAAAAAAAATCTAACATATAAACATAAATAAATATCTCTGGAGTTATATGACATTATAAGTTTTGAAAATAAATCAAGAGTGAGAAACAGTTTTAAACTTCAAACTGTCTTGAAAGTGACCGGATGTGCATTGGGTCCTTTTTGTTTAACTAAGTCCAGTTGATTCTGGTTTCGGGTGTTTTGAGCCCCGGAATATATTTCGTTGCTCTGATACAGGGAGTTCTCTGAGACGAGGTAATTTGTGTGGTTGTATTTTGTCAAAGAAATGCCATTGGTCCTATTTTGACAAAGAAATGGCATTACAGCGTAATGACGTATAAGAATTATGAGCATTGCAAGATAAAGTTAACAGACCGTGGTTTGCGGTGTTAGTCACGAGTTATCGCTTCTAACGATTTTACGATCGACTAGCACGCGGAAACTACGTAATCCGAATCGTACACCAGCTGCTCTATTGCGTATTCTTAAATGCATTGATATTGGAATTGAAACTATTTATTCGGATCTAAAAATATGAATGTAATCGCGTATTTTTTAATTTTTCTTTGTGTTGCATATTTGTGTTAATATTTTTAGACACATAGAGAACCACAAACTTCACTCAAACTCACGAGACAAATAAATGTGACTTCTCGTGAACTAGGGGTCTTCTCTCGTTCTCTGTCCGATATCCATCCGAAACAATTACTGTCAAATAGTAATACACGACCCAATTAAATGACAATTTCAGGTATGAAGCTTCATTCGTATCATGCGTCTTTTAATCTAGTCGAGTAGGTATAACTTATTTGACAGTAATTGTTTCTGACGAACTCGTTTCCTGTTTTTAATGTAAACAGCCTTATTTTATTTACTAAATTATGGTCCCCAAATTTTGTGAAAGAAATATAGAAACAAAAAAAAACAGAATTCGAAAAAAATGTATTTTGTTAAGAAATAAAGAAACAAAATAAAAACAGATAACAATAGTTATTTGTAAGTTTTGTATGCAAGGCTGCAAAGTTGTTGTTTGACGCGAGTGCTTACGCAAGTGTAGTGCAAGCGAAGGCAGCTAAGATTGAACTACGAGCGAAGCGAGTCAAAAATAGATTCCGGAGTGTAGCGAGGGTTTCAAGGCACGAGACGTTAAACAACTTTGCTGCCGAGCAAAACACACAACTTCTCACCTCACTAAAGCGAGGAAAATGGTATATGAAAGAAAAACAGTTGAAAAAACATCTGTTTTTTTAATTACAGGCAAAAATTATCTTCGGATGCGTTCTGAATTTATACCTCATAAATTTTTATTCTTGCTTGTACTTTTATTTTGTGTGATTATTGAAATTATTTTAGTACTTCGACGAATTAAAATAATTTGATAAACACAATTAGTTATCATTGTCAATTTAATGTCAACAAAAATAAGAATAAAATGTACCAACGGATTTATATTACATAAATAGGTAACGTAATTAAACGTTTTTTGTCATCGAAAGAAAAAGTTATGTGCGTGCACCACAGTCCATCGTCAAGTTCGAATTTCAAAGACCTTTTCGACGCTGGCGTGCCAAAAAACACTTTTGCACGCGGATTTCTAATGAGAAAGAAAGCCTTTCCGAGTTAGTGAGATGAAAACAAAATTTTTGACGTTATGTTCATTGGAGGTATAACTTTGTAAAAATGCCATTTTTGGGCGTCACTTCACCTGAAAACCCGACTTTTGGACAACGAAACGGTGGTGATATCCTCATGCACTAACGCCCTCTATTGAGCATCAGTAGATATTACTACGAAAATCAAAACCCACATCAAGGGAATGAACCGATGTCTTTTCAGGAAGTAGAAAGCCAACGCAAGACGTCATCGTTTCAACGCAACGTGGTGTACCCTTTAGCGATGCTGCTGCTGCTCGCGTTGACTACTATCACCGTGCTTATGGTACTACAGAACACTCTGGAGCTACTCATCGGCATCAAGGCACTGCCTCTTAGCACTCGGGTAAGTCAACAAATATATCACAGTCACATACATATACAGGGTATTTGTAAAATACAAGCAATCTCTCAGGGCTATGTTACTAACATCATAAAAAACAAATTTTGGTTCCATAATTTTTTTCATCATTTGGTTTCGTCGTACAAAATTAAAAATGATGGCGCTAAACCATAGTTTCTCAAAGCGGTCCCTAACGCCCCCCCTGGGCGCTGAAGAGTCCTTGGGTGCTACCGCATTTAAAAAAAAGAACCTGAATTATCTATACAAAACACTGCATTCATGTATACATTTTTTTCCTTGTTAATTTATGTGTTAAGTTAATATAAAAATGATTTTTTTTTTATCTTGCCTAAGCGGGTGGTGAGCGAGATAACTCTGTGCGGTAGCAAAAGAAAGCGCCCACCACCAAAATGGTTTTTAAGAATGACAACATGTTGGAGACGTTGCTAAATAACTTACCATCAAATACAGATCGAAAAACTATTAGATAGTATAACAAGAAATTAAAAGTATATTGTTGGCAATTTTCTTAAATTTTGTAAAAATGTCATTGAATAAAAGTTGTTTATAATGTTAGTAATATAGTCCAGAGAGGTTGTTACTGTTTTACAAATAACCCTGTATATGGAAGTTTGTGGTAGCAGTAAAGATCCTTGTGAAAAAGTTCGTCCAGGGAAGTACTGCCATCTTACCTATTTCTGCCGCCAAACAGTAAGCATTACTGCGTTCCGGAAATTGCAAGCACATGGGATTCAACTTATATCTCAGAGTGAGGGGCACAGTGGCAGTGCCCCTCAGATCTTTGTTATTTAAAGCTCTGAGAGGCATTGCGACTGCTATGGACAGGCGTGTCGCTTACCAGCAGGTGCACGATGTTCGTCCCGTCACTTGGTATAAAAAAAAATGTCCGAAGGTTTGGGAAATCATTACTGGGCCGAAACCAAAATAAAGTGTAAAATGTGGGCGATATTCGACGTAAGCTTCCTTTGCTAAATGTGTGATAGAATCTTGTAAAATTTCTCATATTGACTGTAAATCGTCTTAAATTAAGACCTGAATTTTTAGCATTTCCGGCTTCTTTTCAAGCGCAAAAATAATTTGACGTTGCAGCAATTCACGCTCGGTATAGCGTCGTTGTCGAAACTGGGCTGGGCAGGAGCGACTCTAGAGGCGTTCCTGATTTTGTACTTGCACTGCGCATCGCTGACGGGGCTCTGGGCGCCGCTGCGCGCGCTGCGGCTGCTGCCACGCGCGCGCCGCACGCCACTCGCGCGCATCATAGCGCTGGCCGCCGTGCTGCTCGCGCATTCCACCGCGCAGCCGCTGCTGGTCAAGATATTAGGTAGCATTTTCTTCCCTTTGTTTTATATTCCATAACATCAAGCGGTTTGTCTCCAGTTATACTGCCCTGCTTGACTGACATAAGTTACGTAATCATTGACCTTGGGACCTAACATAACCTTTCCAAAAACAATCTTATTTCAATGTAAGCTTAAAGTAGGGTTATTATAATAGTACTCATATTTGTACCGTGACAAACCTGTCAACCAAATAATGTATTATTGCTAAAGTGATTGAAAGAATGATTTCCCAATATTGTCTATTCCTTACTAAAAATGGGAAAGAAATAACGCTATATGAAATATATAATGCCATCTCTTTCTTTTTTGATAGTCCGAATCGTCTTATCGTAGTATAATATTTAAGGACTTAATGTTATTTACATTCAGAGAATTTAAACGGTTAAAAAAAGAAAACCGCCGCATTCCGCATTTTCATGAAGAAAAATTAATAAAACAAGCTGAGTCTTGATAGTCACATTGTGAATTCGGAATTATAGTCTAATGTCAACTGTTAGTGTCGCCAAGGAGCATTTAGGTGTCGCTGTCATAATTTTACGAAATAAACGTTGCGTATTTTTATTTAACGAGAAATTATTTCCTATGTACTATTAAATTAAAAAAATAAACAAAATATTGAAGAGATTTATGTAAATAAATAAGTTCAACTTAACTTTTAATCATTACAAATCAATATTTAAACAATAAATTCGAAATTAATATTGGTTCCACTGCGTCCGAGTAGCTATTTTAACATTGCTAAATTTGACATAAGAATAATATTACTTTAATTTTAAAGTCGCGTCATAGTACGAATTGAGTAAATGAATAGTCACAAAGCTGCCAATAAAACATAGTTTTAACATTATAATAAGCTTACTTTATGCGCGTCATGGTACGAAAAGTCAATGTAAGGTTAAAGTAACATTGTTTTAAGAGGTTGTGGTAGGCCCCCTGAGGTCAATGAACGTAATCGACATTTGGGAAATTGAGTTATTAAAATATCTAGAATCAGCGAAACGAGATCTACAACCCCCTTAAGAGTCTATAATGCCTCAGCGCGAATTGATTTTTTTCCCATTCTAATACGGTTCATTTTGCTCGGGTCACACTGTCTTTATTTCAGAATTTATTTTGTTACGAACGAAATTAAAATCATATGAAAAATATATATCGTATACTGTACAGTGTTATATTTAGTTCGGTTGATAGAAAAAAAAATCATTGGTATATGTAATGTACCTATTGAATACAGCGGTTTTCTTGTAAAATTTCAAAGTAACTTTGTGTTTTTTACTATCGTGACAATTGTTAGGAATCGTGTTTTCACACTGTATAGTAATCAGTGTAACGTATCATAAATTTTGCTATACATATATTTTTTCCAAAATGATTGATTCAACATTCACTGTTATGCGTTATCAACCAAAACCATATGTTGTATAGACTCTTAGGCGGTTTCTTTACATCTTATTCAGTTTCATATTTATTGTTAACAAAAATCAGCGTACCTGATTGACATTTTTACTAGCAAAAAAATTAAGGTGCCATTATCTCGAAAGTTACCGAAATGCATCATCTAAGTATCTTAGAAACAATTCGCTTTTGGTTCTAACCCCGACCCGTACTAATAACAGGCATAATGAGTTCATGTCATAATTTCAACATTTTATGTAATAAATGAAACTATTTTTCCGGTTTTAAATCGCGTATATTTGTTTTTCAAACAAACTAACGTTTCGGGCCCTTATTAAACCCAGGGTCACCATAAATATATGCAATTTAAATCCGGAAAAATAGCTTCATCTTTTCAATACGAGTGTGATTTCGGCAATGAGAGCACTAAATGAGCATTTCTTTGACTCTTAGTTAGGAAACACAAGCACTGGAAATACGACCCTAATGGCAGGGACTTGAGTATGATTTCGAGTGCTTTAAACCATACTCAAATCCTGACTTGAGTATTGAATAGTTCTAGAATACGACCCTAAGTGAGGCTTACAACTGCTGTGGTTTTTCTTTTTTTTTAATGTTTTATATAATAAGCTAGGTAAATTGTGCACCCAGATATGCAGATAAATGCAAACATTTTAGTTATGACAAAGAGGGCAGTATACCAATAGTAGTCGAGGTGTAGCACAGTCACGTTATCAGGGTAACAGATATGCTCCTAGAATTTCCTCAATTCTGGAAGTTTTGGCCAAAAACAAAAAAGAAACTTTTCAATTGTTTCCATTAGGCTCTAGTTACATTGTCGAACTAACTAACTAACTAACCTGTGCTGCCAAACTACAAATCGATTAATTAATTGAATGAATCGAATTGTTTAATTGAATCAGTTGGATAACTGGATTTTATATAATAAAATGGGTTTTGCGATTTCGCTGCTGATTACTATAAAAAATATGTGATTCAGTACTGAATGATGAATGATGATATTTCATACATGAGATTAGAAATTTTTTCTTACATAACCTATAAAGCAAATTTACAATTCCGAAATCTAATTTTCAATTCTCCTTCAAATTGATTGACTCACTCACTCAGTCAACCGTGACCATGGGCCATGTAAAGGGCCCGAAATGTCGGTTTGTTTGAAAAAACAAATATACGCGATTTCTATCCGGAAAAATAGTTTCATTTCCTATGTGTAACAATCGCGAAAAGCTAAGAACTCGATATTATTTTATTGTTATCTATTATCTTGTTGTTATAAGTCATATATTAGAAACTACGATTTTGTGTTTTATGCAATTGGAATAATTTCTATTTTAATATTCGATATCGGCAGCCAGTTAATATATCAATTAATTTAAATACAATTGGTGCCAAAAAACTGCCATTTCGTTTTGGTTTATTGGTTATTAGTTATAGCCAACAACAACAATAGCTTTATAACAGTAGCAGATTTGATTTCATTGCGTTAACGCCATTGTCTGGGATTGAACCACAAATAACCACCTCACTTAAGGACGTCAGGCCTATAAGCATACTTCCTTGCGCATCAAAAATTTTGGAGAAAATCGTGGCAAAGCAGCTCAACATTTTTTTGGAGACAAATAAAGTGCTTCCCGTGGTACAGTCCGGTTTCAGGAGGGGTCACAGTACTACAACATCAATGATCAAAGTTGTCGATGACATCATATCGGCCCAAGACATTGGTCAGGGCACGTTATTGACACTACTTGACTTTTCTCGTGCTTTCGACTGCATTAGTGTAGATATACTGCTATCCAAGCTGCATTACTACGGTTTCAGTGCGTCTGCCATAAAATGGTTTAGCAGTTACTTTAAGCATCGATCACAGCATGTAGAGGTATATGATCATGATGGTTCAGCATTGTTTTCAGCCAGTCGCGACGTCAAAAGAGGTGTGCCGCAGGGCTCAATTTTGGGTCCTATCCTATTTATTATATACAGCGCTGATATAGTCCACCAAATTAAACATTGCCAGTATCATATCTACGCTGATGATATTCAAGTTTACACCTCTTTTAAACCAAGTGATACCCAAAATGCAGTAAGATATCTAAATGATGATTTAGAACACATTGCTGCATGGGCTGAGTCAAATTCACTAGTGCTTAATGGTTCTAAATCTAAATATATGGTTTTAGGTACTCGCAATCAGATAGTGAAAATTAAAGGGCAAGGTATATCTTTGGTGATTAGAGGAGAAAATGTTGAAGCGGTCAGTGAAGCTCGAAACCTGGGTTTGCTAATGGATGAAACGCTTCGTTTCGAGAACCACGTAATAGGAGTTGCTAGAAACTGCTTTTATAGGCTCAAGCTGTTGTACCAAATTAGAAATTACCTTAGACAAGATGTTCGCATAAAACTCTGCGATTCGTTGGTACTATCTAAATTTAGTTACATGGACGTAGTGTATGGGCCGCGCCTTTTAACCCATACAAAGCAACTAGTGCAACGGATACAGAACGCTTGCGCCCGCTTTTGTTTCGCTATACCACCGCGCACGCACGTTACACCTTACATCAATGATGCAAACATTTTAAAAATGAATGTTCGAAGGGAGCTACATTTAGCGACATTATTGTTCGGAACAATAAAATGTAACAGTCCGACTTATCTGGCCGAGAAATTGGTTTGGTCTCGTGACGTAAAGGGCCGGTTCACAAGGGACTCAGCCTGGTCGCTCGCGATCCCGAAACATCGCACTAATGCGTTCCGTGGCAGCTTCAAATTCGCCGCTTCGAAGTGCTGGAATGACTTGCCACCGCCGCTTCGAAGTCTGAAATCAGTAAATACTTTTAAATTTAAGTACAAGGCATACCTTTTGGGCAACCAAAAGAACATGTAATAAAAAAAAAAAATGAAAAATTTAATTTATATATATTTATCTTACCTTGCTGATTTTGACTCGAGGTGCTGGCACGTCGTCCGCGCAACATATAACGCATTGCGCATTTTCATTTATTGTTGTTTCTTGTTGAGATAAATTGGTCACTATTGTAATTAATATATATATTCTTTTATTTTATTTATTTTTCTATTTCACAAACGTAACGCACGCAAATTTATTACGTCATATAATATCTGAAATGAAATTACCTTATTAATATTTCAATTTTAATTATATTTATAGAAATCATTGTTTAACTATTGTGTATACCTCAAATGGAAGCCATGTTTTACTTACATTATTTCCAATGTAAATCTGTTCGGGGTTCTCGCATGACGTCATAGCCATATAATTATTATAATTTTCGTTTAACACTGCTTAGAAATAGTAATTGGTTCACTGATGAACTACAAAAACGTTGTACTCCTTTTTATTTATCATTATTCTTGCACTCACTGTATTGATAATAATATAATAACTTTAATAATGAATTTTTAATAGAGATTTGTTTCGTCACGAAATGACGCGACCGATCCCGAGCGGAGTGAGTCATCTCTGTGAGCATTATTGCCGTGTTCGTTTATCCTGTGCTCGAGTTTTTATGTTCTATACACATTATATCTATATTTCTGTAGTTAAATCTATTAATAGCGCGTATTTTCAGTATTGTCTATCAGATTGTCTGTTACATAATTTTTGTTTTATCCTTGTTATTACACCAATATTTAACGTGTATATTTAAACTTATTTCGTAAACATATAAAATTTATCATATTACTGCATACATATATTATTTACTTTAAATATTTTATTTTATGAAATCAATTATTTATTACACAGAATTATTTATGTATGTATAATATTGTTTACGCTCGAGTCCGTGCTTCACTCAGATCGGGCTTGCTGAAAACCAGCGCTACTGGTCGATTTTTCTACCAGTAGCTTAAAGCTGAGCAAGTACCGTTTGCCTGCGCCGCGACACGCATTTATTAATAAGTTTCGTAAATTGCAGTACCTGTAAAATTGCAATTAATTTCTCTGTGCTTTTATTTTATTTTATTTTTAAATTTTTGTATTGCATTTATATTGTGTTCAATGTCTAATTTTATAATATTGTATTGCATTTTTTTTTTTTAAGTTCATGTGTGTCTCGGCGAGAGTAATAAATCATTCTTATTCTTATTCTTATTCTTAACAGGTTACATAACAGTGTTGCCGTGGTGTTGCCAGGGCCCTTGAGTCCAAAATTACATTTCGTTACCAGAAAAGTTACATTTTTGTGTGCAAAAGTTACATTTTACAAGATCGGTTTATTCATTAAAAATTCAAACTGTAAATCCTAAAAATACAAAATAAGTTCGCTCAAAAAAAAAGCAACCAGTAAGTAATTGATTTATTTTGTTTGCGCCATCTCCGTGTTATTTTTTTGTCTAATTTGGGTGCGTTCGTAAACTATTTAGGGTTTACAATAACAAATACTGTTGAATTTCTTCAAAAGTTACGATAAATGTATGAAATGTAACCATCTGGCAACACTACACAATATTCATTCGCTGTCATTGTCATGTTGTATGCAACACTACAAAATAGCGGAAAAGCAGATTATCTGACGACAGTGTACAATAACGGTTATTGAAAAAATAGCATAACAGTTTTCATTGTTGGCAAACAGCCGTTTTTGTTATATATCTATTGAACTATATCAATTATATGTTCATTACTTAATCATATCTTCTTGTACAGGTATAACAAACTTCGACTTGCTAGGCGAATTCGGGCGCATAGAATGGCTCGGCAACTTCAAACTGGTGTTGCTATACAACGCAATATTCGCCGCTACCGTCACCCTGTGCCTCGTGAGCAAATTCACGGCCAGCGTACGACGGGAGTTGTATAACAGGTTGGTAGAAAACGTGAACACTGTCGCACATTGCGTGTCCTTCCTCAATAACTGACGAAAGATCAGCCCCTTAGTTAGACTGCGGGGCAAAATGAGACTTTTTTAACCATTGAGAAACTTCACAAACTTAGGGTAATACTACATTCAACGGCATGCTTCAGCGTCGCGATCGTTCTAAAAGCAAAATGCTTTATTAACCCGCTTCTATTAAGAACAATACACTGAAGTATAAACGCAAATGTAACAACACTCTTAACATGTGCTGTTGGTTAATTTGTAAAAAAATCTAGAGATGGTCACCATAAAAAATATTATGATAGGTTCGTCTGCTGCACAATTTGAAAACCGATTTGAGATAAAATTTATAACTATTCCTTCTACATAATTTCTGTGATTTTATCATTGTTGTATGCTGTGGAACGATGAAAGAGCATTTTTGTAACGATATAGTACATAGTGTTGAGTTATGAAAGATTCACACTTTGAAAAATGAATATTTTTCTGCATTTGACAGTGACATCTGTCAAAAGTTGAAGTTACTGAACTTTGAAACTCAAAATCCAGGGATTAGAAACTTACATTTTACAATGTTTATTCAATTTTATTTTATAAAGCTAAATAAAAATTTAAAAAACATATTCGCACTGCTATTACAACAGTGTTATAACTAAAAAATATGGGAAATTCAAGGTTATACCATTGTTGAACGTAAAATTTGATTCTCCACACGTCCATAAAACCGTCGTTAGAATATTGTAAAAAACAACTAAAATATGTCTACTTAACTAATTAACTCAAAATGAGACACGCTTTATCTGAGCTAGTTCTGGCCAAAGTTGTCCTTATTCAAAAATATAACACTATTTTTCTCATTTATTTTTAAATATGTATATTTGGCAAGTAGGAAATAACTTATACATAAATTTACACAGATCTTTCACGGGAAGCGAGTAATTCGTTTTTCGTTGATTCTGAGAAAATACACTTTTTGAGTTAATACACTATTGTATTAATAGTGCGATATCTAAAGTAGAACATAATATGTGTTTTCAAATTGGATTTTCCAATTTTTCAGAAGAATTTGTACTATTTGAAATTTTTCCGAATATTACCCAACACTAATTGTAC